GTCCGTCCAGCTCTGGGGCATCAGTCAGGAAACCAGCCAGACATCCTGGGCACGAGTCACCAAAGACTTTGAAAGTTAGGGGAGAGGCGTGATGGTGCCCCAGAGACCCGCGGCACACCCTCGGCGGCGCCCGCCGTGTCTGGCACTCGGGCTGCGCTCCAGAAACCGGGGGCCTTGTGCACAGGCGCTGGCCTCTGAAGGTGGCCACGCACCGGGTCACGAGGCCGAGCCGCGAGTAAAGCTTCCATCTCACAGTGGCCGCATGATAGTAAAACGAAGAACCTGGCCATCACTCCCCTCTTGCAGGAACCGTTGAAAGAGATCCTGCTAAACTGCAGTTGTTTTCTCCCCATTCATTGTTCCTTTGATCCACTCATTGTCCCCTCCTGTCAGTCAGAGGGGCGGGTTCCCGGGCCACCCCTCAATATGTGCAGAGGTGGCTGTGAGTGCTGCCGCAGGGCACACCTGGGTTTTGACCCTGATGGGCACCTGCCTGCAGCCCCCCCCTCCCCCACTTCCAAAAGGGGATCTAAACGGGCTGTTCCGTGGAGGCCCCAGCTCACGGTGGCTGCCACTCCCGGCACCGTCTCCTTGTTTGGTAGTCACAACAAGCCCACGAGGAATGTAGGGATGATTTTGTCACCGTAAGTGGCTGGGGGACCTGCCTGACCTCACACGGCTCCCCCATGACACTGGACGGCTGGTGAGTCCACAAGGCCCCCCAGAAATCTCCTTGGTTAGCTCAGCCTTCTTGATGCCAGCTCAGATGGGCGCATCTTAAGCTGCACCCCCTCCACCCGCCCCCAAAGCTTTCTTTCTAGAGACTTCCACAAGATGCCGGGACCCTGACCCCTTCTCCCCCAGCACTTGCCAGGAGCGGTAATGACACATCCGCTGATGGACACACTTGCGGCTGTCCCCGGCTGTCCCCTTCACTCCCGGACTCTGAGCTCCATCTCCCAGACTCCCCGAGTGGCGGCCTACCCATGTGGGAACTCTCCAGGCGGTGGCTGGACACCCCAAGAGCTCACTCCTTTGTTCTTTGTCCCCGAGGGATAAAGCCTTTGTTGCCGTGATGTCCACTGTTTTGTAAGCCATTGTTTTATATATCTGGTATATTTTTTTGGATGTTCCAGGTGTAGGGGTCAAATGTAACCTCGGTTACTTCCTCTCTGCGGGAAGCTCTTACTGATGCCTCTTGTGGTTGAAAAGAAAGCAGCTCCTTTGATAAATCAACACTGAGCCCGGGTGGTTCTAAATCACTCTGGGGCTGCCGGTCCCGGCGTCTTCACGGGCGGCAGGAGTGGTTAATGAATACAGCAGACAAAGCTTCACCGGGTCCCAGGAGAGAGAGTGTGGCGACCCCTGACACATCATGGCAGCTCCTGCCTTTCTGTCATGTTTGCAGAATCTTGTCTGGGGGCAAGGGAGAGTGACAGTGACAGAGGGGCCTGAGCTTGGGCAGCCTCAGGTCTGAGACCTCACAGTCTGGCTCCGCCCCCCCCCATTCTACTGACCACTTGCCTCTCACAGGCCCCGCCCTCCCCGTGAACCTTAGCACTTTGTGGCTTCCTCCCCTCAGCCACGAATGACCTTCACCTTGCCCATGAGCACGTCTCTTCCCTTCTTGGAGACTGCTGGCTCCTAGAGCAAGGCCGTCTGGTCTCGGCCGGCTCTGCAATGTCCCGCGGGCAGCTGGCAGCAGACCTAGTGAGGGCAGTTTATGTCGAATTCGTCTGTGCACCCCCAGCTCCCGGCACAGCGCCAGGCCCAGAGGATGCTCAGCGCCTTTTTGGTGGATGAATGAACACATCGATGAGCGCCTTCACAAAGCTGTCTTCTGGCTTATGACCCATCAGTCTGTCCCCATAGGATAAGCTGTCTTACCCTATCTGGAAAGAAGTGCTGGCCACGCCCACTGGGAAGGAAGTCCGGGCAGGGACAGACCTTGGCCTGCAGCCTGAAGATCGGGGTCCCACCCTGCCCCTGGGACAGCTGCTTGGTCCTGAACCCTAGTGTGTATTCCCTTTCCGACACGACACCTCCCAGGCTTCTTCCACCTCCAGCCTCCCCTGGTCCTTGCTCACCAGTGACTCACGCAAGGGTGGGCAAGGACGCCCTCTTGGAACCCAACAGCCGCTTTCTTGGCAAAATCCAAGAGGTGTGCCTAGGATTGAGTTTCACCAGATAGCTCCCTGTTTTCAGATCTGTTAGCGTTTTTGCCTCGGCTAGCTGCCCCACACGCACACGGTGAGCGGTACGCTGCGGAGTACTCGAGGGGCCCCGTGCGGAAGGACCCTCTCAAACCAGCCCCCTCTTTCAATACCAACTGTGTTTGGGAAAGATAAGCAAAAAGGAGATTCCCACCTCCCCGAGAGTGACTGTACAGAAAAGAGGCTGTCAGAAGTTCAGTGTCGAGTGCCAGGTGAGGTTTAGAACCCCTCTTTCTTCTGTGAAGTTGATGGAATTTCTCACTGGGGACCTGGGGCCATTTTTCAAGGGGTAATTCTGCCTCCTGTGGGGCTATCCAGGCTGTGGCGCTGGTTCATACCCGTAGCTTTGCCGGACTCATTGCGGCCACGAACACAGCCCCCACCCCGTATTTCCAGGGGCCCACGGGACGGGATGCGCCCCTGACCGAGACCACGTGGCAGATGTTTTCCCAGCCGTGGGAATGCTGGGTGACAGGCGGGCCACTGGCAGGCTGGTGTGGGGGTCCCTGTGGGCTGCAGCCTGGATCTGTCCCAGCCTTTTCCCTTTGCAGCGAAAATAAGGAGGCAGACCCATCGGGGTTCGAACCGCGTGCCTGGTTGTACCTCTGGCTCGCCAGCGGGGACCGCCCCCACCGGGATCTGCTGTCACTCACCCCGGGCAGGCTCAGCCAGGCCAGGGACACCCCAATGTGAGGAACTGGGGAAAGGTTTTTTTTATTTTTAACCAAAACAAAAAAAAGCCCTGAAGAAGTTCATCATGGGGAAAATGAAAAGCTTTTGCATTTCCTTTCCCTTACGTTAGAGTTTAGTCCTAGTTTGAATTCTGTACCCTGCAGTCACTTCAGTGCTGGGTTTTCTGAAGGATCTCGGCCTGGCTGAGAGCAGCCGTGTGGTTGGGTGGCATCCTCATCCCAGCCATTCCCCGGGAAGCGTTTCTGAATCTGCGTGGTCTCTCTGCGGATCCGAGGGCCACCCCCGGGGCCTTGCATGTGCTAATGGGGTTTGGACCCCTGTTCCCCGGGGAGCCTATAAGGCTCCCTGGATCTCCCCACCCAGCTGCGAGGGCGCCGGCTGGGTAACACTTCCAGAACCCGAAACCGCTCCCTCCTTTCTGTCTTGTCTTGCTCCGAACGGGAGGACAAGGGGACAAGTGCTTGGGGGCAACAGCGAGGCCGTTCCCTAGCCACGTAATCACGCAAACACCGTAGGACCCCGTGAGAAAAGCCCTAGATGTTTATCCAAGAAAAATATGAAAACGTGATACATGGGTGTTTAGAGCGATTCCATTCATAGAGGTCAACACCTGGACACAGCCCAGGTGTCCATCAACAGGTGAGCGGATCAACAAATTGTGAACGAAGTACTATTCGGCAATAAAAAAAGAAGAGCTACCGAAAAATGCAACAGCGTGGACAAATCTCAAACCCACTTTGCCAAATCAAGAAGGAAGAAATGCACACCACACAGCTCCATTTCCACAGAGAGCGCAAGAGGGGCTGGCTGCCCCAGCCTGGGGGCGGACTAGGCGGAGGCCCGGGGAACCTTGCTGGGCTGATGGAGATGTTCTGTGTCGTGAGGGAGGGGTGGCTGACCCTGGTGTACCCGCTTGTCACAGCTGACCAGACCACATGCTTCAGCTGGGTGCGATTCACTGCATTGCGTTACCTTGATCACGACAACAACGACGATAATAAAGCCATCCATGGCGGCCTTTGGGAAACCAGTCACTTAGCCCCCACATACCGGTGTACCCCTCAGAGTACCTATTATTAAGTGGACGTAGAGTCTAGGGCATGGTTGATACTTGTGCATGTAGTCACATCTTGAAGACCTGCCTATAGCTGCTAGTAATGTCTGTGTGTTTGTCTATCCATCATCCCCCCTCCCTCCCTTTCGCAACCCCCCTTCCCTCCCTCACTCTCACCTCTCCCTTCTTCTTCTTTTCCTCCTCCTCCTCTCCCTCTCCTCCCCCTCCTCCTCCTCCTTCTCCGCCCCCGCCACTCTCTCTGCCATTCCTTTGGCAACTCCTGGTGCTTCTGCCCAGGTGTGCCAGGGTCTTCCAGGGCCTTCGGGTCGAGCCTGCCTTTCTCAGAGGAGAGTGAACCAGCTTTGTTCCAAGCCCGTGCATACCTGCACTGGGGTCCGCCCCACGCAGCCTGTGCCCAGGGGGAGGACAGGCTCACCCCGAGGACCTCGTGGATTGAGTAACGATAAGGGGGCCCTGTAGCCAGTGTCAGATGCTTTGTCAACGACAGACCTTTCCAAATTTTGGCCACCGCATGCCAGCTGAGACAGCTGCAGATCCCCTCCACAGAGGCCAAATCCAAGAAAGGAGACAGCTTGCCCCTCTCAAGAAATTAGCTTAAGAACTGATGTGGATGAGCTTCCCCTTCTCTCCTTCCTCCCCAGGGTCCCCCGGGAGCCCTGCTTCCCACCCCCACCTCCAGAGGAAGCGGATTCAATGCCTCAGCTGAGAGAATGAGATGCTCTGTTATTTTTCATGGGAAATTAAAGCTGACCCCGCTGTCAGTTAGCTCATGCCGAGGGAGGATGGATGGCCCCGGGCGGGCGTGGTGCTTCACCCCTGCTGGGAGCACGCCGCCGCTGCCCTGGCCGCGGGCCAGCCATGATGTCACCTGCTGCCCACTGGAGCGGGGGTGGGGACGGCAGCCCAGGTCAGAGGGCCTGGGCCCTGGGTGGCAGTGAGGCCACCCTGGCTGTCCCCACCTCCGATGCAGCCGGGACGGGCTCGGGCAGGGGACACTCAGCTGCTCTCGTCCCTTTCAGCTCCCAACTCCACCTCGTGCCCCCCGGAGGAGAGCTGGCGGTCGGGGCTGGTGACCGTGGTCGCGGTATGCTGCGCCTCCCTGCTGTTCCTCACTGTGCTCGTCATCATTTGCTACAAAGCCATAAAAAGGTGAGTGTCTCCTGGCTTTCGGCCCCGAGGGGCCCCCAGCGGGGCTCGGCCTCCTCCACCCACCCCCACTGCGTTTCTCTCCTTATGAAAAGTGTTCGTTAAGAGCATTTAAGAAGTAGGAAGCGTGCACCATGAACTCGCATCTACCTTCACCCTGATTCAACAGTTATCAAGGTGTGGCTAATATTTGCTACATAGCTTCCCTATTCCTTTTAGCTTTTGGTTGGCTGAAATATTTTTGAGCCCATCTCAGACCTGATGCCCGCATCACTGCTAGGGAGTCAGCTCAGGAAGCAAGGGATGAGCACCGATGACCAGGCAGGCCCAGGGCAGCAGAGAGCGAGCCCACCCGTGACTCGCAGGCCCCATCGGGCGGGGGCTCACTCAAAGCCTCAGAGTCCGGAAATGCTGCTTGCAGGGCCGGTAGTGGGGCCACTGGGGGGAGGCGCCACGCTGGTTTGGAGTGGGGCCTGACTGGGTTTTGCAGTCAGATCTAAATTCAGACTCTAGCTCCAGCTTTGTTGCTGGGAGGACACCCCTTTACCTCTCCGGCCTTCAGTGTCCTTATCTGTGAAATGGGGAGAAAGACTAATGACCTCATACTGTTCTGAGGGGTGGTGAGATGCCTGCTGCAAATAGTATGCACAATATGTGTGCTCCGCTGTGCCTGGTATACAGTAGGTGCTTACCAAGTGCTGCAGCAAAAAGTGCAGCAGCTTCCAGTTGTCTCAAGAGGCACAGACAGAGAAAACAAAAGACGACAGAGGAGGGAAAGGTGCTTCTCTTGGGAGAAGAGAGAGGCCGAGATGCCTCAGACAAGGTTTGCAGTGAGCATGACGCCCAAGTTGGGTTTTGAAGGATGAACAGGAGTGTTCTAGTGGGGTCGTGAGTGATCCAAACAGCAAAGTATCTTCCAGAAACACTCTGTCGTTTCTGTAACTGCCTTCTCGGTTGCCTTTGCTCCCTCCCCCAGTCACGCTGGGCTTTGCCGCACAGTGAGGCGGTTCTTGGGGTCTGGGGGTCAGTTCACTCTGATCGGGATGTCACCACATCTGTCCGAGAGGCTGCTGGCGTGGGACGAGGATTTTAGGTGGCACAGCCAGGGAGGCGCTGCTGGCACAGGAAGCCCCGGTGACCTGGGATGGGGCTGGAGGGAGCCATGCACCAGACAGGGCGGCGCTGGCCCCGCCAGGCCGAGCAGCTGGCTGGGGACTCAGTGGGTCCTGGGAGCCAGGGAAGGGTTTTGCAGAAGAGTGTGCAAGACCCACCTAGGGCACCACCAGGGCATGGGGCATAAGTCCTATCAAGGACCCCTCCCAGCCCCCTTCCCCTCAGAGACAAGTAGCAGCAGCAGCAGCTTTTTAATAAGCCCAGGTTCTTCCAAAAGTCACTTCTGCCTCCCTCTCTGCCCCAAACTTCTGAAGTAACTCGCCGCTTCAGCGGGAGGAGGGGATGGGGAACAAACATTAATCTCTGGCGGGCAGTGCCAACCCGCTGGGGCATGCTGGGCTGGGTTTCAGGGGGCGTGGGTTTCCCAGGAAGGTGTGTGGGGGTGCCACCCTCCCCTCCTCCCTGAGCAGCCATCCAAAGGACTCCAGTCCTCCCTGGCTTCTCGGACAGGCTCCAAGCTCTTGGTTCCAGGGCCAGACAGCGGGGCCTGGAAAGACAGGACTCACCCCAACGGATCCCTTCCAGGGCCTGTGGGCGGGGCTCCCTCCTGGGGAGTAGGCGGGGCTCAAGAATCTAGGGCGGCAGTGGGAGCCTTGAGCAGGCCTGGGACCAGGGCAAGGGGAGGTGCCACAGGGAACCCGGACAGCCAAGAGCCCCCTGAGAGAGGCCCATCAGCATGAGCTGTGGTTGGCACTGCCAGAGATGCAGCCCCCGAACTGGAAAGTATGCAGAGGAAATGCCCTGACCTCTCTCCAGGCTCTCGGGGCTCCCGATGGCGGCTCCCATCGGCAAGTCCCGGGGATCCCAGGTGTGCGGTCGTCAGTGTCAGCACCCAGGGGCACAGGCTGGACGCCGTGGTAAATGGAGACCGCATCCCAGTCCCTTCTCTGCCCCAACACCATGATCTGTGTCCTCCTCTGGCAAGACCCCGGGGCAGGGGAATAAGAGCCGGCCCCTGCCCAAGATCCTCATAACCCAGAAGGACGTCCCAGCGCCCGAGGACGGACGTTCAGTCACCGGAGGCTCTGCCCCTGGTCAGGTGGGGCTAGAAAAAGAGCCGCCCGGAGGGAGACGGAATCCCCTGGGGGAGGGAGAAGCAGGCAAGTGGTACCCAGCACGGGAGGGCCGGCGACCCCCCTGCTCTCCCGCGGACCTCTGCTGGCGGCTGGACGATAGCATGTGCGTGCACGCCAGCTGTCCACACGTCTCTCCTGGATCATGCCTTGTCTCTCAGGAAACAAAAGCATTTCATGTCGCTGTAAAACCATGAAGAGGAAAATTCAGTGATAAATCCTGCTTTTTTTTTTAATTTTAGAGAGGAAGGCGGGGAGAGGGAGAGGGAGAGAGAGATGTCAATTCACTGCTCCACTTACTGATGCAATCATCGGTTGATTCTTGTGTGTGCCCTGCCCGGGGGTCTAACCCACAACCGTGGGGTATTGGAGTGCAGTCTCACCAACAGAGCTACCAGGCCAGGGCCTAACCCCCGCTTTAAACCACTCTCCCAGCCTGGAGTCCTGGGGGAGAAGTGGGAGATCTTTGTGAATGATCCCGAAACAGCCTTCGGGAGCCAGATTGCTGGGAGGATGGTTCTGGAATGAGCTTGGGTAGAGAGGTGACTCCGGACGTGCCAGCTTGGCCTGGCAGGCGGGGTGTGGGCCGAGGGGCCACAGGCCTCTGCGGGAGCTGGAGGAGCCTGAGGAGCAGATGGAGAAGGAGCGCCTGAGTGGGCACCGACCTCGGCGGACGGACAGGGCTCTGTGCAGTGCTTCCCGCGCACTCTCAGTGAGTCAGACTTCCCCTTGTCACTCAACCAGCATCCCGAAGTCCCAGCTCTGTGCTGGGTTATAGGGTGCTCCGGGGACTCTGGGGCTGGGGGAGCCCAGAGCAGGGGCAGCTCACCCAGACGGGGGCCTGAGAGGTTTCCCGGAAGAGGGTGGATGTTAGCCAGGCCAGGCGCTGAGGAGGGGCGTTGCTCACAGTGGGACGGGCGCAGGCCATAGTGGCCCCCAAGTCCCATCAACGACCCCGAACTCCACAGTGGGCATTTCGGTGGCCTCGTTGCCATGGGCTTCCTGTGAATGGCTTCTTTAGAACCACAGGACGATCTGGCCCCAGAGCCCTTGGGCGTCTGTAGCCTTGTGGCCCCACCCAGCCTCCTCCCCACCCCTGAGCCCGGTGTTCTCATGTCCTTGGACAGCCGGGAGGTGTTCCAAGAACCCAGGACTGGGAGTCTGGGTCCCCAGATTCCGTTCCCAGCCCCAGCCCCAACCCCAGCCCGCTCAGTGGGCCTGTTTTCCTTATCTACGAAATTGGGGGTCTCCACGACTCTGTCCAGCCCCCTGAGTCTTTGCTTCCTGTCCTGAGATGGCAGGAGCACCACCTGCCGCTTGTCACTAGGTCAGGCCACTGCTTAGCCACACGAATGCTGACCGAAACTCTTGGCTGGGCCCAACGCCAGGGCCGTGCTCAGCACGGGGGCTGCAGGCACTGTCCCTAACCGCCCCCCCAGGCACACACCCCTGGGGGGAGAAGCGGGTGTTAATCAGACCCTCCCCCCAACACCATGTATTACAACGGAGAGGACTAGCCGAAGGAGGACCAAGGCTCTGTGAGCGGAGGCGACAAAAGAACCCTAGGCGCGGGGTGGATACGGCCGTCAGACAAGCAGTGACCAGCAAGCGTTGTCGAGATGGAGCTCCCAGGTGCAGCGTGCCCACTGCCCTGGCAGGAGGGCTGGACTCAGCCTCTGGCCACGGGGAGGGTGGGCGCCCCTTTGGTCTGCGGACACTCAAGGGGGAGGCCACCAGCCACACCCTTGATGCAGAGAAGGGTCCTGGGTTGTGGAGAGATGACACCCACCTGCGCCAGGCCCTGTCCCTCGAGCCACCCCCACACCCCAGGCACAGGGGGGCCACCTACCACGCAGACCCTTCACCTTCCCAGTCGATTGGCCATTAAGCCACTTGAGAGCCATTTTCTTCTAATTTACAAGGTATTGGCTGAAAGGCCAATCAAATCGGCACAGGTCTGGCCAACCCTGCAGACCGTTAATTGCAGGCAATAAGCAAGCTGGCTGCTCCCTGGGAGGGTGTGCGTGCCCGAGTGCGCCTGAGCACGCGAGTTGCTGTGGAGCTCTGGCGAGTGTTAGCTTTTTGTGTGTGAGCTGCTTCTAGCAGAACGTGCTGGGCCACAGATATTTATTGAGTGTCTACTGTGTGCTGGGGACTGGACCAGGTGCCAGGATGCCGAGATAAATGAGACTGAGTCCCTGCCCACTGCCCCCCACACCACCCCGCATCCCAGTGGAGGAAGCAGATTACACACAGACGCACACCAGCAAACTAATAAATGAGGTTTTAAAAAGCTATGAGTGAGTGCTATGAAGAAGGGGAACAAAACCTCGGGGGAATGGGGGAGGGGAGAAGGGAGGAGGGAAGAGGGGTTTCTTGGCCCTCCGTAGGGAGTGCTGTGCATGCCTCTTGAGGGGGCTTTCTGGCTAGAGCAAATGGTTAGTGCTTTGTACACCCATTACCATCTGTAACAGGCCTCCCTTGGGGTCCAGGACACAGCAAGCGAGGGAGCCCGACAGCTCTCCTTTCTCAGGCTCTTCAGAGCTGATCTCTGCCTCCAGCTTCCCCATGGGAGCAGCAGGCCCAGGGTGGGACCTGTCACCTCGCTGTGGCAGGGCCCGAGAGGGCCACCTGGGCCCTGGCCGTCCCCGCCCAGCCCAGACGTGCTGGTGGGGGCGGCTCCCACAGAGGCCTGTGGCTGCTGGCATTTGCGGAGGGAGCCGTCAGTGGAGCACTCCAGGCAGACGCAGTGGGGGGCCCGCTGCTTGCCAGGCCCCGGGCTGTGGGAAGGTGGCAGAACCCACCCTCAGGTGCCTCGCGTCCGAGGAAAAGCTCACTGCCCTTTCCCTTGGTTTTAGGAACCATGCCGTGTAGGGAGCCGAGTGTGGCCATCTCTGCCTGCCCGCCTGAGGTGGGGAATGCCTCTCTTTGGTTTCTCGGGACCAGCCCCGGCTGGCTCCCAGCACCGTGGAGTCTCTGGCATTGCCGGCAGCCCCACGGGGTACGCCTTAGGTAGGCGGTCCCTGCAGACCCGAGAGCGCCCTCCCCACCGCCTGCCAGTGGGCGAGGCCACCCGCTGACACCTTTCCGCCCGTGGTCCCAAGAGCTAACGAACCCCCTGGAGCGCTTGCTGACGCTGGGACCCCTCCAAGTGCTTGTCACACACTAACATGTTTACCGCTCCCAACAAGGCTGTGAAACGGACACCGTCGCTGCGCCTGTTTCATAGAGCAGGAGACTGAGGCCCAGAGAGGCTGAATGGCTTGCCCGTGAAAGGACACGGGGTGGGGGCGGGGTTGAGGTGGAGCCTTCTCCTGCTGCAGGAACAGCCCCTGCATCCCCTGGGCTCCAGTGAGTCCCAGAAGGACATCGGGAGAGGGTCGGCAGCAGCCTGGGGTGCAGAATGGCTAGGGCTGAGCTCCGGTGGAGAGGGGAGCAGGTCAATTCCAGCTCTCAGGAGGGCCCTGGGCACCACTCTCTCCGCTCTGGAATGCCCCTGGGTCGGGGAGGCCGGGGTGGGGGGCCTGCATCAGCCACAGGTTCCCTCTTCACTGGGTGGAGCCCCTGCCCAGACCCCCTTCATCCTTCCCAGCCTGGGAAACTGGCTGAGCCATGGCGAAGGGCCTGGGGCTGCCTCCTTACCCTGACCCCAGTGTCCCTCCAGCTAGGCTGGCCTACCGCCAGGCCCTCTGGGCCATCATTTTCCCCCCAGAATACCAAGGGGCACCCAGCCTTCAGCCTGGCTCTAGAATCTGCCCTCTCCTCCGGCAGCAGTGACCCTGCCGATATCCCAGCCTCAGCTAAGCAGGGACCCCGTGCCCCAGGCTCTGCCTATTTGCAGGGGAGTTCCAGACCCCCTGCTTCCTCTCCTCGGTCTGCACCCTCCAAGGCCCGTGAGCCTTATCTCCCCCGCCCGGGACCTGTGGCAGATTCATCAGACCCGGAGATGTTTGCCCTAGTTCGTGAAATCCTGACTCTGGTAACCAGTGCCCGCCTCGTAGGTGGATGATGATGTACTTAGGAGTCTCCCTGAAGTGGTCTCATGGTCAAGTGGCTGGGGCAACGCAGGGTCTCACTGTGAGAAAATGCACCCCCGCCCCCGCATTTTCCAGGCCACGCAGACCCACTGAGTCAGAGATCAAGCCCTCGCAGCCTCCTCAGACTGAGCGAGGCCCCTGGACAGGCACTGTCGGGGCGGGGGGAGGGGAGAAGGGGACGAGGGAGGGAAGTCTAGGGACAGAGGCTCAGACTGTCCTGTCCGTGAACCCGTCACCAGCAAAGCAACTCCCCCGAGCCCCACGAACCTGGGGCTTCCAGAAGATGTCTGTGAGCATCTGTCCGCACCAACTGGGGTCCTCAGACCCCAGGACAGCGGGTGTGCTTGGTTAAAGCACAACGAGACGGGCTTCTTGGAGGCCTCGGAGAACTTCGAGAATGTCCGGGAGGAGGGGAGGAAGGCCTCCCAGAGCTGGTTGGACCCCAGAGCCCATTTCGGGGCAATGCCTGCCGGGAATGCTGATCTAATGGCAAGGTGTCCAGACCAGGACTTGGTAGAAGTGGGTGGTGGTCCAGGCCCCACCGTAACCCAGCTGGGGGCCCTTGGGCAAGTCACAGTTCTCCCTAAGCCTCAGTTTCCCCAAGAAATGAAGTGAAACTCCAGGCCTTGCTTCTTCAGGGGACCGTCGTGAAAGGGGACAGCAGGTCTGTGTCTGGGGGTGCTTGGAACAGAGCATGGCACCCCATGGGGGGAAGTGCTGGTTTGCACCTCAGTTTTTTAGGGGCCGCCGTGGCTGGGCCTGGCGCCCAGTCTGACTGCACCTGGGTTTCTGCCCGTGTTTCAGGAGCTGATTCTCCTGCCAGAGAAAAGGGAGAGTTGATGGATTTGATCTTGGGGTGCTGTCTGCGCAGGCCTGGTGACCCCACCCCGTGATAACCACCCCCCGGCCCCTCCCCCTGCACTGATCCCTGGAGGGCTTTATCCCATCCGCACCAAGCTGGCCTGCACCCTCCTCCCCATGCTGGGTCGGGGCCGGGGGGTGGGGGCAGTGGGACGGGGCTCGGGGACACTCAGAAGGCAGACGTCATCATTCCCTGGGCTCTCAGGGATGACCGTAAACATTCACTTTAGACAGCTGACAACAAAGGCCAGCTCAGGCTCAGCCCCGGCATTCCTGGGGACACACACAGGCATCCGAGCTGCAGCCCCCGGGCCTCAGAGCCACCTCTGACAGGGGCCCTCCTCACAGCCGTGTGGCTTCCGTCAGGAAGCTGTGGCCACTCGGGCCCAGGCTGGGGGCCAGGACCGTCCTGAGCTGCTCAAGAGAGATGAGAATTGAACCACAAGGTACTGCTGCGAATCCAGAGCCTTGGCAAGGGAGCGAGAGCCTTCTCAAGCCCCCCGCAGCCCCCACCGCCGCCGCCCCAGACCCCAAGGGTCCAAGGATGCTAACCTGAACAGAGCCTGGTGGGCTAACTGGGAGGGCATGACACTGCCCCCCGCCGCCCCCGGCAATGATAATTAACGGATGTCCCTCCCCCTCCCCCGCCTCCCCTGCCCCTTCACCCGCCCCCAGGAAACCCCTGAGAAAGGAGGAGAATGGCACCAGCCCTGCTGAGTATCCCATGACGTCCTCGCAGAGCAGCAAAGGCGTGGCCGTGAACAGCGCCGTGGTGTGAGTCTGCGGCCCTGGACCACGGGCCAGAGGGGCACCTTGGTGGCACGAGTGGACACAAGCTGACACTGGGCTTGTCCAGGACTTCATTGTCTTGCTGGCCTCGAGCCTGTCGAAGGAGAAACCACGCTCTTCCCAGCCTCGCCGCTGGGCCGGGGCGGCGCGGGCCCCAGGCTGAGCCAGGCGCACCTGCATGCAGCCCCGGGGCGGCGCCAGCGCCCGACGCTCTCCGCATCTCTCGTCTCGTGTGTGACCCGCTGTCTCCCAGCTACTGTCTAAAGCACGTGCCCTGTCGAACGCAGAGGGCCGGTCTGTCTGCTGAGGGGGGAGGCATCCCCCTTTAGCCAAAAGAAAGGCAATCCAGGGGCTTCTCCCTGCCAGAAAACCTCTCCCCTGCCCCCCACCCCCGGATGCCCACCTGCTGTTCCCTTGACTATGCCCTCCCCAACAGAAGCCATTGACGCGGCTGTGAGACGTCTCCTTCCTAAGGTGCTTCCCACACATGTCTGCCACCCCATCTGCTCTGTCCTCAGTCTGCAGGGCCTGCCTTCTCCCCCCTGTCCCCACTGACCCCCCCGCCCCCCGGGCCCCTGGATCCTGCCTGGCTCCTGACCTGCTGCCACAGAGAGCTGTGCACCCGCCCCGCCAGGTCCCCTCCTGCCTGAGCACACTAGGGCTCGTTTACACTCCGGGGTAGCAGCTGGCTTTCCAGGGGCAAAAGGACACACTGAACCCTAGGCCACAGGCCTGGAAGGACAGAGGCCATGAGGCCTGTTCGCAGAAGCACCCCCAAACCTGACCCTCGTAGGAACTGACGCATCCATGTGAGCCAGGCCCTGCCTTCCTGCGGCAGAGGCCACCGCTGTGCCAAACCCACAGCGGGCATGCGGGGCCAGGCTGGCCAGCCTGGGCTGGGTCTCCCCAATGCTCCCCTGCAGCCCTGATGGGGACCGACCCTCTCCTGGGAGCCCCCAGGCCTCCACGCATCCACAGGAGGCAGCATTCCTCCAGTGGCCCTTTGACCGTCTCTTTCCATGGTCTTGTGTTCTAGAAGCGTAGAACCCTCCCACCGTGCTTGGTGCATAAAGGGGACCCACCCACCCATAGACACATCACTAGGTCCATGGAGATGGCAGCCCTGGGGTTTCCATCCCCTGGTGGATTGGGAGATGCTCCTGACCCCACGGGCTCCTCACCGCCCACACACTTCCTGGGGAGGAACGAGACACAGTGAGCGGTTCCACTCCCTGGCCAGGTAGGAGCCTCGCCAGGTGGACGTGGTCTGCCTCCCAAACCACCGGGGTGGGGGCACAGGTGATACTCTCATATCCAGGTGAGACTGGCAGACTGAAAACCAGTCCCCGTTTGGGCCGAACCTGGACACAGCCACTGTCCCGGAGCCCTGGGCCCCCCTGAGTTTTCGGGGTCCTGCTGCCTTTCACCGAGCAGAGGGGAGAAGGTGGGCTTGCTGTGGTCTTAACCCTGGTCCTGCCCCCAGGTCAGCGGGTGCAGCCGGAGGACAGGCCCTGGCCTCGCCCTCCCGGCAGCGGGCCCCCCGCCCCGCTGTTTTCCTTCTGTGTGAGGACTGGTTTGGGGTTTGGATGTGGGCTTTGCTTTCCCTGCACACCTCAGCACAGCGCAGTGCCACCCGGGCCTCCACGCTTGCCCCCAGCCCTGTGAGCGCGCAGTACCCCTGGTGGATGCCGTCACTGCCCCGAGGGATGCACGGCTGGGTGACAGGCCAGAGGTTGTGGGTCCTCTGCAGGGCAGACCCCGCCCCCAGGGTCCTCCCCCAGCCGCCTCCACCTCTGTGTGGGTCCCCTGCCTGTTCCCCAAGCAGATGATAGGGGGCACCTTCAGCCAGAGGGGGCACCTGGCTAAGGGGTCGTGACACGCTGGGCAGCCACCCTGGAGGGGCATCCAAGGGGGATGGGCAAACACAGCCCACCTTCACACAAACCCACGGGTCCCACCTTCCCTGACCTTGGCTTAAACCTAAGAGCCCCGGATTTTGCCATTAGCCTGACCCGCCAGCGCCTGGTGAGCCTTCCATCGGCCTCAGGGGGCCGCATCCTCTTCCCTGGAGACGCAGCCAGGGCTCCGGGAAAAGCTGGCCTTCGAGAGTACATCCAAGTCCCCCGAGTTGGGTTTGCAACATGTCTTCCCCACCCAGTCAGCGAAAACCAAGAGAAGAACTTTTGCTTTTCTGTTTTGTTTGTTTTTGTTTGTTTAAAGGATTTGCTTGAGAACCCCCAAACCAAGAATCAGCCACTCATAAGACAGCTTTCATGGGTGCAGCGAGAGACCCACTGGATTTTTTAGCTTAGGCGACAGAAGCGCCCCTAAAACCGGACCAGCCTGGTATTTGAGCTTAGAACCTGTGTGTCAAGGGTGAAGCTGCAGCCCTCGGTGCGGTCTGAGCGTGGAGGCCGAGAGTGAAATGCCCATGCCCTCTCTGCATTTTCTCAAACAGATGTTTTGCCACCGTGTCTCCTAGCCAACTTCAGAATGGCCTGTAGGACCACCCGGCATTTTTCAGGTGTTCATTAGAAGCTTCTAAAGCAAGTTCTGGAAGAAAGACTACTAGCTGTAAAAATATAAACATATATCTGATATATAGCTATATATATTTAAAGAGATATCAATATCTATACAGAACTACTGTACTGTCTAAACCTGTGCAAAGTGTCTGATTTCAGCAGCCCGGGCAGCGTGCGATACCTATTGCATGAAGGTGAACCCTGGAGCTCTGCCTTCCCAGCCAGGTGCCGCGTGTGCGCGGGGAGCCGGCTTCTGCCCTGGGAGATGCCCCGGTGGACCTGTGGGGGCGACCCGTCCACCAAGAAGCCGGGGGTGTCGGTTTCGTGCGGAGACTTTGCACGTGAAGCAGGAGCGGCAGCGCTGGAGGGTGGGCTGTGCGCCGATTAGGAGAAAGCAAGCACCATGCCTTTTTTATTTTCAATAAAAATATACTTATAAAGATGGCTGCAGTTGTCGCGTGTGGCGGGGGCTTGTCCCCGGGGAGGGGTGGGGAGGGGCCAGCAGGCTGAGTGTGGTGTCGGCGGGGGTGGCCCTCCCCGAGGACCTGCTGGGAGCCCAGGGCTGGGCCGGGCACGTCGCCTGCCTCATTTCTGCCTCGTTTCTGTGTGGCTCCATCTCGCGCCCCAAAGCCGGCGTGCATGGGGATTCTCAGGTTCCTATCCCCCACCCCGCCCCCTCGATCCTTGGACTCAGCTGAGAAGAGGGCGACCAGCCAGCCCAGTTTGCCTGGGACGGGAAGGTTTCCCCCAAAGGGGGACTTTGGGGGCTAAAACTGGGAAAGTACCAAGCCGGTCACTTTAATTTGACAAGTGCTCCTAAGATTCATGGGGGACAAGCAGCCCACGCTGGAGGGGAGACAGGTTAGGCCTCCTGCTATGGCCGTGCCTGTGTCCAGACCTCCTCACACCCCCAGTCAGTCTGCGGCACCCCTCACCTGACCGGCCACTCAGAGTATTGTGCTTCAGGCCCACCCTGCGCCCTCAGCGGAGCCCGCAAAGGCCACCTGCTGCCTGGAAGGAAGGAGGGGAACGTGAGCCACCTCCTGGGCCCTCCGGCTCCTTCCAGCCTCGCCAGAAGCCACGCCCCTTCCCAGTGCTCCTGGAGGGAAAGCTTCCTGTCCAATGGGCCCAGGGGAGGGAGAAAACAGTGGCCCCTACAGCAGCATCGCTACCACTGAGGAGTGGAGAGACGGGTCGGGGACGGAGTGTGGTGGCCGAGGTCACATGGTGTCAGGAGACGGGTGGGGCCCACACTGGGGTATCTCCAGGACCCCTGGACACATCCGAGGGGCACCCAAACCCAGGCCATCTCCACGGGGTGGGGGTGCTGCGGGACCCTGTCACCCCCACCTGGATTCCACGTGGCTTCAGAGGAGATGGGTGGAGGCTATTGGGAGGACCCTGTGTGCCTCAAGCCGGGGCCCAGGTGTCTTCACAGCCTGGCCCCAGCCCTGGGGACGGTTGGCTCAGTGCAGGGATGCTGGCGGGCGGGGGCGGGGGGGCAGCTCACGTCCCAGGCACGTGGAGAGGAGCTGTGCAAGTCTGAGCCAGGAGCCCCTCCCCCCCAACCTGGGGTTCCATGAGCTGCCCTGTGCCAAACTTCACACACACCCTGGCATGCAATAGGCACGCAGTGGGTGGCAGCCTTCATTGATGTCATCGCCACTGTCTTCATTATAAAAGGCTGCCTGCCATCCTGGCCCTGGGGAGACCTCCTCTCCTCTGCCCCTGGCCACCTGCACGGGTCCTCTCTTAGAGGTCGGGGAGGATTTGGTGGACACCTCCGGCCTTGTCCACACTCCCGTGCACTGCAGCCTGGCCGAACTCGCAGCAGCAAATGCCAAGGCCAGCGGCCCTGTGTGCAAGGCTCTGCAAGAGGAGCTCCTGGCCCAGCCTGGGACGGGGCGGGGAAGGGCCCGCCGGGGCCGAGGAGCTGTCAGCACAGAACAGAGCGGCAGGCCCTCCTAGGCAGTGCGTCCCATCCCCACCTCAAATCTCCGGGGCTTTTGGCCACCTGTCCAGCTCTGAGCGACCGACACAATAATAGTACGTGCCTGGCCACCTATCGGACTCCTGCCTTCTCCCTGGGCGGCTCACCAGCTGCCCCGCCACTGCGGCCACTGAGGCGTAAGACACAGTGCGACCCACCGGTGTCCCCGCATGGCCTCCGGACGTGTGGCGGAATGACCAGAGGGCTATAGCAGAAAGGCTCTCCTGTGTGTGCTTGGTTCCAAGTGGTGACCCCACTGCGTCCTCACCTTTGGACACGGCTCCCCGACCCGGCCAGACTGGTGACCCACGTGCAGCAACCCCCACTTCCCCTCCTCTCAGCCACCCTCCCCTACCCATGCAGGCACCAAGAGCCTTTATGCTCTCTCCTCCCTCCCCCAAAATCAGCTCAGAGAAGTACCTGACAACGTCCCCGAGGCAGGCTCAGCGCACTGTCTCCACGCGTGAAACACACGGTGCCACCGCACCGGGCTCCAGGCCCCATGGTCCCCGCCCGTGTGCGGCAGATGCACGCTCTCCGGAGCCTCCCGGTCCTCCCCTGCTTCTCCCTCACCCACCCCCGTCACCCCGCCCTGTTTGTGACGAGTGTGTGCATTTACTTTCTCCTCCCATGGCCGGCACAAGACCTGTTTGTAGGATTCATTCATTCATTCATTCATTCATTGTGGGTTACACATTCAACACTATGTGCAGCATAAGGAAGAGAATAAAGCATTTTATTTCACATAACTGTTCAGAATCCCCACCTCGTTGGCTGGGCAGAGGGTGGGGAAGTAGAAAAACTTGAATTTGCAAATTGATGGCATTTGGGTCTCTTCTGATTTAACACGTCTCCTTTGGATAGATTCTCAGTCTGTGAGCCATCTTCCTGGGTCCCCGCCAGCGGGCACCCAGATGTGCTCCTGAGCGGGCGCCTGGTCACGGCAGAAGCAGGGCCTGGACCTCATGGTGTCCTCAGGGTCCTGACGGGGCAAGG